TGGCAATCCCTATTGAGGCTGATGGGAGATGAGGGCACTCGGCGCTTGTAGGAATGAGCTCATAATGTTCCAGGGCTACTCAGACAACACTAAAAACAACGAGGAGTCCTTGTGGCATGTTAGAAACTAAGGAATTTATTTGGGCATAAGCTTTCGTGGGCTAAAACCCACTTCATCAGATGCATGGAGTGAAAAAAACAGTAAGCAGAATATATATTCTAGCCCATGAAAAGATGAGAGTTGCCTTACCAAGTGGGGGGTCAGTGATAACCGAGCCAATTCAATTAAGGTGGAAGTGGCCTATTTTCAACAATTGACAAGAAGGGGTGAATACCAAGGGAGGGAAAATTACTTTTGTAGTGCTAACAAGGCGAATGCAATCAAGGTGGCCCATTTCCAACAGTTGACAAGAAGGTGTGACTATCAGCAGAGGAAAAATTACTTTTTGTAGTGACCCATCCACTCCCAGTCTTTATTCAGGCCTAATTTGATGGTGTCCAGTTTGCAAATTAATTCCAGTTCTGCAGTTTCTTATTGGAGTCTGTTTTTGAGTGTCCAGGGAGATTGAAGTGTTCTCAGTGAGGAAGAAGGAGTAGGGTGAGTCAGTGGGCTATACCCTCACTTTATCAGATTATGATGATCCACTGTGGGGATGTGGGGTATACTTGGAGAGGTGCATGAAACAGTCGCTCGCCATACAACCTCCATGTAAGGGCCCATCACAATCATAGTTCTTGCATTCTTCTGGGTGCAAGGACTGCATGGAGTACTCCTGAGGGCATTCTGCACCAAAAAAAATTAAAAATTCTGCTCACAATATTTTAAAATTCTGCAAAATTTTGCAAAATTTATTAGTCAAATAAATGTGGAGGCTCCAGCATGGTATTGGGGAGCACAGGCCACTGGCTGCACAGAGGTGGGAGATCACTGCGCAGCTCCTCCCGCCCCGGGACACAGACTCAATGGTGATGCTGCACCCAACCCTGACACAGTGCAAGGACCAGGCCTGCCCGAGAAACACCCCAGGGCCATGCCCCTCTGTGGCAGATGCACCACGAGTGTGTGTGTGGGGGGGATAGAGCTTAGCAGGATGGGGTCTGGGGGGGGACCTCAGTGGGGATTCCAGATGCTGGTGGAGTGGGGCTCAGTGGAGTGGGGATCCAGGTTCAGCTGGTTGGGGCTCAGTGGGGTGGGGATCTGGGTGTGGGTGGCTTGTCAGGGTGGTCGAGGTACAGGGGGAGTGGGGCTTATTGGAAGGGGTGTCTGAGTGCAGGGGGAGGTGAGGCACGATGGGAGGGGCTGAGTATGAGGAAAGTGATCAGGAACAGTCAGCATGGATTCACCAAGGGCAAGTCATGCCTGACTAATCTAATTGCCTTCTATGACGAGATAACTGGCTCTGTGGATGAAGGGAAAGCAGTGGACGTGTTGTTCCTTGACTTTAGCAAAGCTTTTGACACTGTCTCCCACAGTATTCTTGCCAGCAAGTTAAAGAAATATGGGCTGGATGAATGGACTATAAGGTGGATAGAAAGCTGGTTAGATTGTCAGGCTCAACGGGTAGTGATCAATGGCTCCATGTCTAGTTGGCAGCCGGTATCAAGTGGAGTGCCCCAAGGGTCAGTCCTGGGGCCGGTTTTGTTCAATATCTTCATAAATGATCTGGAGGATGGTGTGGATTGCACCCTCAGCAAGTTTGCAGATGACACTAAACTGGGAGGAGAGGTAGATACGCTGGAGGGTAGGGATAGGATACAGAGGGACCTAGACAAATTGGAGGATTGGGCCAAAAGAAATCTGATGAGGTTCAACAAGGACAAGTGCAAAGTCCTGCACTTAGGACGGAAGAATCCAATGCACCGCTACAGACTAGGGACCGAATGGTTAGGCAGCAGTTCTGCAGAAAAGGACCTAGGGGTTACAGTGGACGAGAAGCTGGATATGAGTCAACAGTGTGTCCTTGTTGCCAAGAAGGCCAATGGCATTTGGGGATGTATAAGTAGGGGCATTGCCAGCAGATCGAGGGACGTGATCGTTCCCCTCTATTCGACACTGGTGAGGCCTCATCTGGAGTACTGTGTCCAGTTTTGGGCCCCACACTACAAGAAGGATGTGGAAAAATTGGAAAGAGTCCAGCGGAGGGCAACAAAAATGATTAGGGGACTGGAACACATGAGTTATGAGGAGAGGCTGAGGGAACTGGGGATGTTTAGTCTACGGAAGAGAAGAATGAGGGGGGATTTGATAGCTGCTTTCAACTACCTGGAAGGGGGTTCCAAAGAGGATGGCTCTAGACTGTTCTCAGTGGTAGCAGATGACAGAACGAGGAGTAATGGTCTCAAGTTGCAGTGGGGGAGATTTAGGTTGGATATTAGGAAAAACTTTTCCACTAGGAGGGTGGAGAAACACTGGAATGCGTTACCTAGGGAGGTGGTGGAATTTCCTTCCTTAGAAGTTTTTAAGGTCAGGCTTGACAAAGCCCTGGCTGGGATGATTTAATTGGGGATTTAATTGGGTCCTGCTTTGAGCAGGGGGTTGGACTAGATGACCTCCTGAGGTCCCTTCCAACCCTGATATTCTGTGATTCTATGATCTGGATGCATGGGGATTGAGCAGATGCAGGAGCAGCTCCCTGTACGGGGATCCCTCCCCCTGCAGCTGAGGAACGATAGGTGCAGGAAGCATGCGGGGATGGTGGTGGTGGGGGACTTTGAAGAGCTTCCTGCAGCTGGGGGAGAAATCTGGGGGTGGGTCTGACCTGGCCCTGGATGCCGTGCAGGGGAAGAGGAAGTCCCATCCTCCCCAGCCCAGCTGCAACTAGCAGCTCAGCCCAGCACAGGGTAGGAGCCACCAGCCGGGTCTTCCCCACTCCCGCCCCCTCCCTCACAGAGATTGACCTCTCTGCTGGCTGCCCTGGGCACCCAGAACATACTGCTGGGGAAGGTTACATGACTGCCTTTGTGGCTTCCCTTTGCTTCCCCCTCAGAAAGTGGAGTGCCGAGCCCGGAGTCCCTCCCCCATTCTACCCCTTCCCCCACGGCCCTGCTTCTGTTCTGATCCCTGTTCCGCCCTCACTCTGCCTCTTCCCGCCGAGACCCCGCCCCTTGCTCACTCCTTCCCCCTGCTCCAGTGCTGCACCCCCGAGATCAGAAAAGCTCTGTGACCCCACTGCAGCCCTGGGGCCACGGTGGGAAGCAGGAGATTTTTCCAGGGGCCCCAAATCCTCCACTGCCCCCCCTCCCGGCAATATGAGTTTTGTGGAGGCTTAGCCTCTCTCAGCCTCCATTACGCACCACCCTTGGGGGCAAGCAACGGGGCCTCTCGCCCATGTATGGTACCCAAATGTTCATGGGGAAAGCCATTCCCAACCTTACAGCTCTCCGAGCAACCACTTTGGCTGCCCTTCTAGACCAGTTCCTTAACCTCCTCTGCCCCTGGCAACCCTGCAGTCACAGCGGCCATGCTGCAATTTGCCCACCTGACCCTTCTGACTGGGCTCACAGAGCATGGAGGGCAGGTTACTATTGCTCCCGACAGTGAAACTGCCCCAGGTTTGCACAGTGGTGAAGGTAGGGGCTGTCGGCAGCGCTGTGTTCCCAAATGCCATGCTGAGCATTCCGTTCACTATTAATTCCCAACACCAGCACACCGTGAAACTAACAAAGCTGGGCTAACCCACTCCATGCTCACTTGCTGGTATGTCGCAGCCCCAGCCTTTCCTCTGTGCTTGCACTTTTTCAGTTTACGCTCTCTAAGGCTGAGACTGTCACTTTATCTCTGTTTGTGCAGCACCCAGCACGACCACTTATAATCTTTGGCCCTGTGACTGTTACAGAAATGCTTACAAATAATACCAGCTGACTCAGAGACCAGGTTATCACCTACTGACTCATTAACAACCCTTCCTGCAGCGCATGAAATTTCTGTTGGCTTCCCACATCCAAATAGTGACCCAGCCAGATCTGTCTAAAGTTGTAAAATCTGGCATGATAACAGCCTCCGGCGGTGTGACTGTAAATTATGAATGAGGCGAGGAAAAAACCACTTAGCAGTCTGATTAGGAGGCGTGACTGGCCACCAGCCCTGGCATCTCCTGTTGAGTACGTACCCGATGCTTTGACTTTGGATTTAATGGTGCAGTTTTTTTCACAGGTGCTTATGAAATGAACTTGGAGTCCAGTTACAAAGTTGCATTTTGTGTATACATTAGGCAGAGCTTTGTAAGCACCTGGCAACCTGTTCCCTAAAAGCATGAGCCCCTGGGAAGGCTGGGGTTAGGCCATTGTTAAACATAGGCTTTGCTGACAGTAGTGCATCGCAGCCTGCAATTATGCTGTTATGTATCAGGTACCTGTAAATATTCCTGTTACATATGGGGCTGCTCGAACTCTGTGAATCTCTGAAAAGCAACCAGCCTGCTGGCATATCAGAGTAACATTCATATTCTTTCCCCTTGGCGATTAAATCAAAGGTGGTAAATATCATTCCATTGCAATTTCATAAAGAAGAGCACCCAAGGGCAGCTGGCCAGCCCTCATGTTTGTCAGGTTAGTAACCACTTTCATGACACTGTTTAATCCAAACAAACAGTATGAGTAATGCTGTCAGAACAAGTTAGGCCACTTGCTGGAGCAATGTGCAGAAAAGGGGCTGGAGACTTGGGTCACGTGTAGGGAAAAAAATAATAGTTACTTGGTAAGAGGTACCAGGAAACAACGCCTTAAAATGCCTGGTGTGTTGTCTACTGTAACAATGCCACTCAGGTTGCTTCGAAAGGAGTCCCAGCCACAAACCCCAGCCATGCTCCATGCAGTAATGACAACTCGGCCAGTTCATTGAACATCCTGCATTGGGAGCAGGCAGACAGCTAGTGGAAGCGTGAGTTGAATTCAGGGAGCTTTCCACAGGGAAAACCGGACAGGTAAAGCAGATTACACACCTGGGTTTCATTTACAGCCTTTTCATCTGAAAGAAACATTAGGCTGGGTTTGTAAGAGGCACTTTAAAGACTCAGCGACGCTTCTGACAAACTCTCCGAAGTTGGGAATGAAGAAGAGCGGCTCTCAGCTCATGGAAAGTCAGACTATCCTCTCCCAGCTCAGGTTGGTTCCCTGGTGTATGATTTCTACGGTTATTTTGTATCCTCAAGCCAAATTTGTTTTCAGCCAGTGACTTGACAGCAAACCTCTATGCTGTAGTGCAGGAGACAGAGCTAGCAGCAACGTTGGGTCTTTCTTGCTTTATGAGCTGTTGCAGCTTACAGATGGTGTGGATGAAAGAGTACAGACACCTTTCCAGCCAAGGCATCTGCATCAACCTTGGGGTAAGGGCTGGTTGAATATTTCCCACCAAAATTTTTTTCAACCTAAAATTGGGGGTTTGTTCTAATGGGTGGAAACTGTCTGGCTTTTCTTGAAAATGTTGGATTTGTTGTTGGATTATCAGTGTTGGTTGCTGAAAATCAAAAAGGAGCTCATGTTTCTAGTTCCCGGTTTTGCAGTGAACAGCTGCCATGTTTTGCTGGAAATTCTGACAGATGCAACTTTTTGGTTTTGCAGAAATTTTGTTCAAGAAATCACTTTCTGCCCAACTCTGTTAGGACTTTAGTTGCTTGCCTTCACAATACGAGAAACACAGAAATAAAGTTTGTGAGAGGAAGTAGGAAGGACTAGGGAACCCAAAATTAAAGGAGTTAGAGATTGTTTAGACCTTGTTTTAATTGCCTTGGGGCAAGACTAAGCAGAGTTAGATCTAAACAACTCCGGGGGTCAGGGAATGTCTGGGGTAGGGGAAAGAAGAAAGAAAGAAATTACTAAAAAGAAAAGGAGTACTTGTGGCACCTTAGAGACTAACCAATTTATTTGAGCATGAGCTTTCGTGAGCTACAGCTCACTTCATCAGATATACATCTGATGAAGTGAGCTGTAGCTCACGAAAGCTCATGCTCAAATAAATTGGTTAGTCTCTAAGGTGCCACAAGTACTCCTTTTCTTTTTGCGAATACAGACTAACACGGCTGTTCCTCTGAAAGAAATTACTGAAGTTTACTATGTTCTCCCATCATGCTCTCAGTCTCCAAGGGCATTAGTCTCTTTCATTATATGTGTCATGCTGACACAGTGGCTCAGAAAAGTTTTATTACCTTTATCCACTGTTTTTTTTACAATGCACATATAAAACACCATCAGTGCTAAGATCACTTAAAAGCTACCTTGAAACACAAACCTACAGAGGCATTACCACAGACCCAACAGGCTGCTTGAGAGAGAAGCTTCATGTTTTGCAGAAATAATACTTTTGTGCTAAGTTTCATTTCATGCTATCCCAGCACAAAAGATATGATGTGACAGGCAACTTTTGCTGTGATAACCAATAGCACTATTAACTTGCTTGTATACCATTGCCTTAATTTTTGCTTAATTTCAGATTTGGTGTAATCCCGGGAATTTTCGATCTATGGTTATTAATGGCATGCTGTAAAATGTAATGTATTGGAAGGAAACATAATAGAGAATATCAAAACAATGCACTTGTTGAGCAGGAAAATAATCTTTCTTACTACACTTTCATATGCAAGCAAGAAAGCATATGAAAGCTCTTTGTACCATCCTGCACTGAAACAATTTGTTTAATTAAAAGATAAATTTAGAAACCTGTTTAGATATACTGTATAATTAAAACGTACACCTCACTGTACTGTCTCACTCGGGAGAGCAGCTCCTCGCCATCCATAGGACAGAATGGCAAGTGGGTCCATATAGTTGAGCATCACTGGCCCCACCTCTGTTTTACCAAAGTAACCCCATTATGAGCTGTTCCAGTGGAGTTACTCTGGATTTACATCAATGTGACTGGCTCTCCTCCAGCATCCATTTCCTCTGCTCCTGCCCTCACACCGAGGAGCATCTCAAGCAGAAATCCCATGACCAGCCTGACTTCCTACTCTACAAATTCATTCTCTCCTCCTTCAGTTCTGCTGTCTTCCTAGCTAAACAAGTCCACTTCTCCACCTTAATCAGATCTCATGCCTGCAATCCCAGCTGCCTTTTTACCACCTTTGACTCACTCCTCAAACCCCCTGCTCCTCCTGCCTCCACTTTCTCTCCACACAGGATCTCGCCAATTTGTTCCAAGAGAAAATGGGCAAAACAGGACACAATCTCCCCCTCCCCTCACTTGCCCGCCTTCCTCCTTCGCCTCCTACAACTCTCTCCTCCTTCTTCCCTATCACAGACACAGAAGTTTCTTGGCTGCTCTCCTACTGTAATCTGTCCATGTGCCCCTGTGACCCCATCCTGTCTCCTGGTCTCCCCCATGCCCACTCGCATCCGCTCCCGTACTCTTTTCCGAACCTCTCGTTTTCCCCTGGCTTTTCCCCTCCCCATACAAACATGCTGTAGTCCTCCCATCTTAACCTCCCTTGGCCCCCATTTGCTTCGCCAACCACTTCCCCATCTCCCTTCTATCTCTAAGCTCATGGACTGCACTACGTACAATCACTGTCTGGAGTTCTCCTCCAGTTCCATCTTAGACCCTCTCTAATGCAGCTGTTAACCCTAGCACTCCACTGAAACCACTCTCACCAAAGGCTGTAATGATCTCTTCCTAGCTAAATCTCAGAACTCGTTCTCCACCCTCATCCTCCTTGACCTGTCAGTCACTTCAACACAGCCAGCCATGGTCTTATTCTTGAAATCTTGTTCTCCTTTTGCTTTTGTGGCTCAATCCTCTCCTGGTTCTCCTCTTACCTCTCTAATCACTCCTTCATCAAATGCTTCAGAGGTTCCTCCTTATCCCCACCTCCAGCTTTCTGTAGGGATTCCTCAGGGCTCTGCCCTTGGTCCCTTCTCTTCTCCATCTACAGATTATCTCTGAGCAATGTCATCCACAACACAAATTGAACTGCCCTCTCTGTGCTGACAACTCACAGATCTACCTCTGTACTGCAGGCCTGCCTCCTTCTATCTAAACTAAAACCTCAGCCTGTCTCGCTGACTTCTCCTCCGGGATGTCAGTTCAAGCTCAACATGGCTAAAACAGAGCTTGTAATCTTTCTCCCCAAACCCTCCCTCATCCTCCTTTCTCAAGCCCTATGGAAAGCACCACCATCCTGCCTGTCACTCAGGCCCATCACCTGGGCCACATCTTCAGCTCAGATCTCTGTCATTATACCAGGCTACGTCTAAATCTTCTTTCTGCAGAACACCACCAAGATACAGCCTTTTCTATACATCCACACAGCTCAAACTGTCCTCCAGGCTCTCATTATCTGACACTGCAATTAGTGCCACATCCTTCCCTCTGGCCTTGCCAAATGCAATCTTGCCCCTCTCACATCCACTCAGAAGGCTGCTACAAGGATCATTTATGTAGCCTGACACATTGACCATGTCTCCCCTCTCTTGCATCCTTCTGCTGGGTGGCCTTTTCTATTGGGTCAGACATAAGCTACTTGACTTCACTTTCAGGGCCCCCCCTTCACAGCTTATCCTTAACCTACCTACCATCTCTCATTTACTATGGAAATGTCAGCTCCTGCTGCCAATTGGCCCATGATGCCAATGTCCATTGCCCACTTATTAAATTATCAAACAAGTGCCTTCGTACTTTATCCCACACTGATCCTCGCACTTGGGAGAGGTGCCCCGTAAACGTTTGCAAAGCGACCTCATTATCCACCCTCAATTCTCTCCTCAGAAATCTCTTTTGCCTTGATGCTAACAACTGCTAGGCTGCTGGTGTGCAGAGATCACTGCCTGTCATTGTTTCCTTGGGCTCCCCCATCAGGCTCTATCTACACCTCTACCCTGATATAACGTGGTCCTCGGGAGCCAAAAAAATCTTACCGCGTTATAGGTGAAACCATGTTATATCAAACTTGCTTTGATCCACCGGAGCACTGCTTTACCGCATTATATCTGGATTCGTGTTATATCGGGTCACGTTATATCGGGGTAGAGGTGTATTTGTTGTCTCTTTTCTTATACTTAGATAATAGGTCCCTTGGAGCAGGGACTGTCTTTTTTTCTGTGTTTGTACATGACTTTGCACAATGGGTCCCTGGTCCCTGACTGGGCTTCATAGGTACAACAGTAATGCAAATAGTAAACAACAACAACAAAAGAGCAGAATTTGGCCCAATAGCTCCAAACTCATTTCAATTACACTGATTCTCCTCTTGCTTACTCCAGTGTAGAGCAGGAGTAAGGCCATTGAAGTCAGTGGAGTTAGTATAGATGTAAACTGGTGTAAGCAAGAAAATAAGTTGCTCATTTTTTTCATAGAAAAGCTTTGCCCCCACCCCCATGAAAAGAGCCTTTAGAAGGAAACAAACGTTTGTACAAAAAAAAATGTCTCGACGTTTTTCCAATTTTTTGATTAAATGAACCCAACATACTTGGTGTTAGAAATCTGAAAAATTGCTGGGTTTTAATTTTTGTATCTTCATTCACATCCTGTCCCTTTGTACTGGGAGTGAGTTTTGTTCCTGCCCCTCACAATGCCATCCTTCTCTATTTTACAAATGGGTTCTCTAGGAAAGCTGGCTCATTTCCTCCTTGTCCAGGAAGAAGATCCGGACACATACCGCGTTGAAAGTGGTGCATCGGCTTTATGTTCATCCTGTACGTAGGGGTGAATATAAACTCTAGCTTGAAGCTGAGACCTTTTTGAAACTCCTCACTGTTCCTGAACATTATTGTTGTTATTACAGTAATGCCTAGAGGCTCCATTGTGCGAGGTGCTGTACAAACACACACACACACACACAGTAAGAAACAGTCTCTGTCCTGAAGAACTTACAGTCTAAATAAACAAGACTTGGCCAGTCTAAACTCGGGGTGGGGGGAAATCGATCTAAGTTATGCAACTTCAGCTACGTGAATAACATAGTTGAAGTCGACGTACTTACACCTATTCACCGCAGTGTCTTCACTGCGGTGAGTTGACTGCTGCCGCTCTCTGGTCGACTCTGGCTGCACCTCTCGTGGTGGTGGAGTACAGGAGTTGATGGGAGAGCACTTGGGGGTCGATTTATCGCGTCTAGACTAGACATGATAAATCGACCCCCACTGGACCGATCGCTGCCCACCAATCCGGTGGGTAGTATAGACATATCCAAAGAGTGGCAGATGAAACAGAAGCAAAGCAAGAGGTGAGGTGACTCAGACAAGGGTGCACAGCAGAGTCAGAAATAGAACCCAGCAGTCCTGAGTCCCACTCAACTTCTCTAGCCAGGAGACCACACTGTCTCAACAAGCTAGTAACTGCTATGCTGATCATGAGAATGGCACTCATAGCACTTTGCTGGTAAAAACCAGACGCTCCGTCTTGTCCTGGGACTGTAACCTCTTTGGGGCAGGGACCATTTTTTCCTTTATCCATTGTGTACAGCACCTGCCAATCCCTGAACAGCACCTCTAGGTGCTCCCCAGTATGCATAACAACAATGAAAGGATTCCCTTTCTCTCCCTTGGCAGGAAGCAGAGCTCTCAGAGCTGGGCACATTTTAGGGAGAAGTACTACAAGCACAAAAAAAGCTGGGGAGCCTTTTAGGGCTAGGATACCCTGGGAAAGGGAGTTGAAGGACAAAGTCATGTGGTAGGAGATAGAAAAATTCCTAACCTTTTGCTATATTTTTCATTCAGATTCTGCAATAAAGTATTGGGTGAAATGCTGTCCCTGGGCATTAAAGTCTTCTGCTTCCTACTTCTAATTGTCACCACATCTACCCACGCTTCGATGGAAGTTAATTTTGAACTTAATTTTGATCCATTCATCCATCACTTAGTAAGTAACTTTTATGGTGGTTTTCAGTTGGTTTATAATAATGCCTAACTCTTATATAGCACTTTTCCTTCCATCAGCCTCAAAGGAGATCAGTGTCATTATCCCCATAAAGACTTGCCCAAGGTCAGCCAGGAGACCCAGGATCTGAACATAGGTCTCCTATAGTGCCCTGTCCACTGGGTCAAATGAGAACAACTTGAGGAGCTGCTGGATTTTGCAATGTAGCCATCCTTTATAAATGCATAGACAGCTAAATGGCCTGCTCCACTGACTGCAGAAATAACCCACTGCGACCAGTAAGTGAAGCCCTAACTCAACACATTCAGTGTAAACTGAGCAAGATGTCATATTTCCTACCTTCTTACCATGTTAGGCTATCAGCGGCTTAGATAGCTTGGTTTAAATGCTCGCTCCGTGAGCTATGCTTGGGTGGGAATTATGTCAATAGTTCTGTGAACAAAAATCCGGTTCCTGGTACCCTGAAATTAGGCGCTGGGGTAATCTCTGGACAAAAGCATCAGCTGCTGTGATAATGGTGTCTCCTGTTTAAAACAGAGCTGGGACTCAGATCTGGGTTCAATTTTCACCTCTTCCATTGTCTTCCTGTACAAAATGTCTTTTTACTGTGTCTCATTTCCCACCTGGCGAATAGGGATAATATTTATTATGGCAGCACCTACAGGCCCCCAGTGTGCTAGGTGTTGGACATACACATGGTAGCAGGCAGCCCCTTCCCCGAAGGGCTTACAGTCTAAATAGACAAGACAAAGGGTGGGAGGAGAAACAGTGAAGTGAAATGACTTGCCCCAGGTCCCACAACTGGTCAGGGTAGGGAGAAGGACTATAACCCATGTCTGCCAGTCCAGTATGCTAATGATTAGACCACATAATACTTCCTTTCTTTAGACTATAAGCTCTTTAAGGCAGATGCTGCCTTTTGCTTTGTCTGTGTATCTACAGGGCCTGGAACAATGGGGTCCTGATCTCCAGTGGGGCCTCAACATACAGCTGCACTAGAAATAAATAATAAGATGAAGATAGCCCACAGGGAGAAGTAGTTGTGGCCAGTTGTGACCCCACTGTAGGGTTCTCGGCCAATAGACCCCCCCACACACACAAACACACACCCCGCAGCACACATTCTTGTGCAGATCCTCATCTGATTCAGCACCACACACAGGGCACAGAAGCCCCTTGTGTCGGCCTGTAACTTCCAGATCACCTATGTGCAATGGGAACCTGCCTTTCCCACTGTGTTTTGGAGAAAGAGTGCCTAGAGAGAGGGTTTGTTTTTCACTGGAGCAGTTTTAAGGAGAGAGAGAAAGAGAGAGAGCGAGACCGACCTCTCCATCCCCTTTGCACCACTGAGATGGACTATGCACCAGTTACTGAATACAATGGAGCAGAGAGGAACCTAGGGAACAAGATGGAGGAGGAGCCAATGGCTGGAACTAGTGTTTGGGAATCTCTGCATAGAGGGGTTATCATAGACAGCTGTTGGTGGACTGGGTAGGGGCATTGTTTTTCTCCCCCTGAACCCTACATATTTCCCCACACTAAACCTGATTACCTTAGTGTGATGAGGAGTGATTTTCCCCCCCTTCTGTTCTAGCGGCTTTACTGAGTTAATAGGTTGTCCAAGATCAGGAGCTAAAAGCATCAGCTCTCTGGTTCCATCAGCACATCACTTCCTACAGCTGATGACTAAGAGGGAGAAAGTGTCTCTTTTTGTTTTGTTTTTGCAAGCCGTTCCTTAACCACAGAGCTTTGGGTGGAGAGCATATATTGAACAAAAATATCTGATATCCTAGGTTATGTTCACAGCATACACACAAAAAAGATAGATAAAAACCATAAAGTGCTCTTTCAGGAAGGTTGTGATGTAACACTGCTTTACTTTTTAGAATCCAGAACCCTAAAACAAGAACCTCAAAACAGCGAGAGACAAAGCCACCTGCTCCCTAAAGCAGAGAGGCCCAACTCACCGCACCTTGCTCTAGGCTGGCTTTCTGCAGAGGACATAGATCACACACTTTCCTTAGGGGCAAGTAGGACCAGGCAACCCTTTAGGATTTAATGTGACAGCTTGCAATTTTTACCCACTTTTCAATACACCACACCTAATATTTATATAGCATCTGCAATCCAGAAGGGTCCCAAAATGCTTTGCAAACAAGCCAACTTCACCAGGTCTTGAATTGCAGCCACTTCTTGGCGCAACGTGGCAGTTGTTTAACAGTGAACAGCAAAACCACAATCATTTAGGAGAGGAACTTAAGACTTCTTTCTACAGCTTCAAACTGAGGGAGGAAGTGGACTTAGGTAAGCATCAAAAGCTCAAAAGCAGTTTCTCCTCCCTTGGTGTTCACACCTCAACTGCTAGAAGAGGGCCTCATCCTCCCTGATTGAACTAACCTCATTATCCCTAGCCTGATTCTTGCTTGCATATTTATACCTGCCTCTGGAAATTTCCACTACATGCATCCGACGAAGTGGGTATTCACCCACGAAAGCTTATGCTCTAATACATCTGTTAGTCTATAAGGTGCCACAAGACTCTGTCACTTTTACAGATGCAGACTAACATGGCTACCTCTCTGATACTTGTAAGCATCATGTAACTGTTCAAGCTGAAATTTGGCCAGGAGAAAGGCTTGCATCCCTATTTGTGCAGCAAAATATGCATTGGGAATCTTTACAATCAGGACTGATGTAATCTGAGGAGGAAGCAGCTCTAATCACACACCGTGTGGCTCCTTTGTGTGATGAGGTGTCTTAAGGGGTGCCAAGCTATTCACCAGCACTGTAAATAAAGGTTTGAATTAAGTTCCACAAACTGGCGAAGATGCAAACTTCCTGCCTCTGTGTCGCCACTTGTGTTTTTTGGCCCATCACTAGGAACGGTGCCAGTGCATTCTAGGGTTGATATAAAAATAACACATGCTGTACTCTACTTGGCAGCCCCCTGCACGAACTCGGCTACTCTGTGTCCCTTGTGCCATCATGCCCCTGCCTAAAGCATGCTAGTGATGGCCTGAGAAATAGGTAGCTGAGTTTTCAATTGACTGGGATGCTACCCGTCCTTCCCCTGAAGGGGATCCAGATAGAGCTGATAAAACCCTGCACTCCTGCTATTCGGTGGGGGAAACTAGACCCCAAGGTTTTTAAAAAAATTCAGCTAAGTGCCCATATCCTCAGCTCCAGTTCCCTCTCCCTGTCCCCCACTGGGCTCCTCAGACCTTGGCTGGCATTCCTGTTCCAGGGTATGTCTACACTACAAAATTACGTCGACTTAAGTCGACATACAGCCACCACAGTAGTTAGGGCCTGGTCTACACTACGGGGTTAGGTTGAATTTAGCTGTGTTAGGTCAATTTAAAAATGACTGCATCCACACAACCAACCCTGTTCCGTCGACCTAAAGGGCTCTTAAAATGGACTTCTGTACTCCTCCCCAACAAGGGGAGTAGCTCTAAAATTGTCCTTGCTGGGTTGAATTTGGGGTAGTGCGGTCGCAAATCGACAGTATTGGCCTCCAGGAGCTATCCCAGAGTGCTCCATTGTGACTTCACTGGACAGCACTTAGAACTCTGATGCACCAGCCAGCTACAAAAGAAAAGGCCCAGGAACTTTTGAATTTCATTTCCTGTTTGATCAGCGTGGCGAACTCAGCAGCACAGGTGACCATGAAGTCCCCCCAGAATCGTAGAGCATAAAATGTTTCTACACTCCCCCTATCATCTTCGTCCCTGAGGTTATTGCAGATTAGAAGGTGAAAAAAACGCACTCGCGATGACATGTTTTCTAAGCTCATGCAGTCCTCCCGCACTGATAGGACACAGCTTAATACATGGAGGCATTCAGTTGCAGAGGCCAGGAAAGAATTAAGTGAGCACAAAGAGCGGAGGCAGGACGCAATGTTGAGCTTAATGGGGGAGCAAACGGACATGATGAAGCATCTGTTGGGGGAGCAAACGGATATGATGAAGCGTCCGTTGGAGCTGCAGGAAAGCCAACAAGAGCACAGACCCCCACTGCATAACCACCTACCCTCCTCCCCATGTTCCATAGCCTCCTCACCCAAACGTTCAAGAACATGGAGGGGGAGGCTCCAGGCACCCAGCCACTCCACTCCAGAGGATGGCCCAATCAACAGAAGTCTGTCATTCAAACAGTTTTATTTTTAGTGTGGCTACTAAACAGTGTGGCTAAGAAGGACTCTGACTCTGGGCAATGTGCAGGAGACACTGGATTGTTTTGCTGCAATGGGGTTACTTAACTGCAGTGGGGCAATAGAGGACATGCATAGCCCTATCTTGGCACCAGACCACCTTGCCACAGAATACATAAACAGAAAGGAATACTTTTCTATGGTGTTGCAAGCACTGGTGGCTCACTGGGGATGTTTTTACCAACATCAACATGGAATGAGCTGGGAAGGTGCGTGATGCGCATATCTTTAAAAACACAGTCCTGTTCAGAAATCTGCAAGCAGAGATTTTCTTTCCGGACCACAAAAATCACCACTGGAAATGTTGAAATGCCCATAGTGATCCTGAGAGAACCAGCCTATCCCTTACTCCCGCAGCTCATGAAGCTGGACACCAGACACCTACACAGCAGCAAGAAGCACTTCAACAATCAGCTCAGCAGGTGCAGAATGATGGTTGATGTGCCTTTGGCCGTTTGAAGGAGCGCTGGAGCAGTCTACTCACTAGGTTAGACCTCAGTGAAAAAAGATATTCTCATGGTTATAGTTGCCTGCTGCATGCTTCATAATATCTGTGAAACAAAGGGAGAGAAGTTTCTGCCGCCTGAAGGGTGGAAGTGGAACAGCTGTCTGCTGATTTTGAGCAGCCAGATACCAGGGCTAAAGAGGAACTCAGCAGGGAGCTATACGGCTCAGGAAGGCTTTGAAAGACTGTTTTAATAATGACACCTCAGCGATGTATGCTGCTTTCCTGTGTTGTGCCTGTCACTGTGTTTTTGGCACCCTGGTC